TGCTCAGATCTCAGCCTCCTGAGTAGCTATGATTACAGGAGTGAGCCACCAGCACCCAGCTACAGAACTGTTTTTAACTACACACAATTCTTTATTTAACCTCAGGCAAATGTATATATCCCCTAATACATATATCCCACAGATGGCTGACAATGTACTGAAGTACTCTATCTCCTATGGCTCCTCCATCATGTGTCTTTATTTGTCCAAGACCAGGACTAAAATTCAGTACCTGATATTTCTGCTCATTGGCTAATGCTCAGCACTCTACCAAATGAGCTATGCGTCTAGTTCCCGGCCCCACCCCCACCCCCCCCCACCCCCCACCTGCCATTTTAGCCATATCTCTTTATTTGGCATATAGGGACAAGTGGCCATGCCTAGTTTGATTGGGACCCTGGACCCAGGGCTTTTCACCATTTTTTGTTCGTTTTTTAATTTTCTTTTTTTTGGGTCCGGTCGTGGGGCCTGAACTCTGGGCCCGGACGCTGTCCCTCAGCTCTTCAGCTCAAGGCTAGTAAGTACTTCTACCACTTGAACCACAGCGCCATTTCCGGCTTTTTTCTTTTTGCTTATGTGGTGCTGAGGAATGGAACCCAGGGCCTCATGCATGCAAGGCAAGCGCTCTACCACTGGGCCACCTTCCCAGCCCCTTTTCACCGTTTTGAATAGACTGCATATGGCTTAAGCATCTGGACTCTACCACCTTAGTTAGCCTCCAATCACTGCACCTCTTATCTCCAGTAAACCACTAAGAAAACCAGAAGTGGTGCTGTAGTGCAAGTGGTAGAGCACTAACCTTGAGCTGAAGAGCTGAGGGACAGCGCCCAGACCCAGACCTGAAGCCCCATGACTGGCCAAAAAATAAAAAAAATAAATATATATCCTTTAATGGCTCCCTACAAGTGAATTAGTTCAAAGTCCTTGAGCATACACTGAAACGCCTCATGACTGTAACTCCCCCAGGCTTTATATCCTAAATTTCTCAGACATACACACTATTCTCCACATTCAGCTTATTTTATAACTTATTTTATAGCTCAATGTTTTGCTTACTACTTTCTCTAAGCTTATAGACTTCTCTAAGTATATCCTTCATCTGTTAAACACTAATTAAAATTTCACCATATTTATGTAGCATGTACTAGGTGTTTCCAAACCAGAAGGAGCTGCTCTTTCCAATGTGTTCTTTTTAGTAGCTCTGGTACAGAACTTACTCTTTTCTACTTATGTGTAGTTATTTAGCTGGCCAATAATAACTCTACTTATAGAAAACAAGGACTTTCTGCTTGTGTTTTGTTTAGTTTTCTCTAAAAAATAACAAAGACAAAATGGATTCTCATATTCACACTGTACGTTCATAATGACAGTAAGTACTTTTTAGTTTACCAACTGCAGTTCTAATTTCACTAGAATTTCTGCCACATACCGAGTGTGCTACAAATATTTATTAAAAAAATAAAAGGCAATAATCTGGCATGTGGTCACTTAAAATTAGAGGAACAATGAAGGGAGGCTATAAAAACTGATGAACTATCATACCAAGATTTAGTTACCACTGGCACCAATAGCTCATGCCTATAATCCTACCTGCTCAGGAGGCTGAAATTTAAGGATCATGGTTCTAAGCCTGCCCAGTCAGGAAAGTCCATGAGATTCTTAACTGCCATTAACTACCAAAAATGCAGAAGAGGAACAATGAGTGGTTCAGGCAATAGAATGTTAGCCTTGAGCAAAAAGCTTATGGACAACCCTAGACCCTGAGTTCAAGCACAGGGCCAGCACAAATACATACACACAAAGCAATTATGTTCCCGGTACTAAACAATGAAAAGCAACGTAGCCCATTTTAACTTATTGAATAAGGCCTTTATGTTTCAAAACATTTCAGGGAACTTTTTTTTTTCGGGGTCCGGTTGTGGAACCTGAACTCTGGGCCTGGGCGCTGTCCCTCAGCTCTTCAGCTCAAGGCTAATGCTCTACCACTTGAGCCACAGCACCACTTCCGGCTTTTTTTTCCCTGCGTATGTGATGCTGAGGAATCGAGCCCAGGGCCTCAAGCATGCAAGGCAAGCGCTCTATCACTGAGCCACTTTCCCACCCCCTCATGGAACATTTTTAAATGTTCTTTTGCTGAGTTTGAATTCTACCAATATTTTTAATATTATACTGTTCAAAGTATTTAAAACTGTCTAACTTCCTGCAGAGGAATCAAAGAAAAGAATTTCAAATGTAAAATGTGCTACTTTGCACTAATATATACTCCCTTTAGAATATCACAATTCTCTTATGTAGAAATATTCATGAAAAAGGTTTTCTTTCTTTTTTGAGACAAGTCTAACTATGTGATTGAGACTGGTCTTTAACTCCTAGGCTCAGGTGATTCTCCTGTCTCTCAGCCTTCCAAGCACCTAGGACTACAGGAGACAGCCATCAAAATTGGCCAAAAACACCCACCTTTTTTTTTGAAATTTAAGTAGCTGTACAAAGAGGTTACATTCATCACACCAGTTTATAGGTATAACGCATCTTGATCAATATCTTCCCTTTCATCAATCATTCTCCCTTTTCCCTTCCATCCTCACTTTCCTTCAATTTTCATAGTTTCATAGGATATGCACTGCAAATTCTGACTACACTCCACTCTCCAAAATTTTTTTGAATGTTTCTTATTTCAACTAATTTTTGAGACTATCTGAATGTTACAGCTTTAGAAGTTGTTATTTTGAGCCAGGCATCGGTGGCTCATGCCTGTATCCTAGCTACTCAGGAGGGTAAGATCTGAGGATCACAGTTCAAAGCCAACCTGGGCAGGAAAGTCCATGAGACTCTTATCTTCAATTAACCACCAGAAAACTGAAAGTGGTGCTGTGGCTCCACTGGTAGAGTGCTAGCCTTGAGCTAAAGGGCTGAGGGACAGCGCCCAGGTCCCAGAGTTCAAGCCCCATGACCAACCAAAGAATAAAAAGTTGTTATTTTGATAACATTATCAAATCAAAATAACATTACCAAAATGTTATGTTAATGATATATTGCTACTGGAGTCTGAACTCACTCTTACTGCTACTATTACTATTACTATTACTACTACTACTACATACAACTATAGGTCTATAACACTTAGGAGATCAAAAATCCTAAGACTAGATATCCCTAAACAGATGACAGAGTTCTGTAATGTCTAAAACCAGTAACTTTATCACAAGAGTGAAAGGGATCAGATATCCTGAGTTGGTTAAAAAGACAATGAAAAGGCTTCACAAATTTGGTCAGTAGAACAAATCTGATTAGAAAGAAGGAACACTTGAAAGAGTGTTCATGCCCAGAAAAGACAGCTATCAACCACTACAATCAGCTTGTCATCTGGGGGAGTACCTCTTATTCATAAAGGAAACAATGAAAGGCTCTCAGTGGATGCCTGAAACCACACTGGAACAAAACTCAAATATGAGCACCTCTGATACCTCAACAGTAAATTGACAACTGAGATAGCTAACAACCATTAAGCAAGGATATGCTAGATCAAGGAAAGATTCAAGTTCTGAATAGGAAACAGGTAAAACGTTTTCAGTCATGTGATTCAGAATAGCAAATAATGTAAAACTCATGCATTATTTATTTTTGGAATTTTCCACTCTTAGAAATCATTAATTACAAGTTATTGAAACTGTAGAAAGTGGACAATATTAAAGGGAAAGTAAATGTTTACATATATGGAGAGAAATAATTTTTATATGTAGCTTTTGGATTACTTTGATAGTCACCTTCTTATCAAATGATTAATCTGCTGGGTACTCAAGCAACTATTCTAACTTGATTAAACTTAAAATGAAAAAACTATCAAGGGCTGAGAATAAAGGAGAATATATCATCCAAAGGAAGTTATTAAGACACTGGGCAGTGAAGAAAAAATAGATTCTTGTGAATTATAGAAAAGGAAGATGAAATATTCTTGTTAATGGAAAAAGAAATCAAGAGCAAGTAGCAATATATACAAAAAATAGTATGATTATGTATGGTGATACATGGCTACCATCCTGGGCAGATATGGGAGGATTATGAGTTTAAGGCCAGCCTAACTACTTAGCAAGGCCCTATCCCCAAATCTCAAGGGCTGAGGATATGGCTCCAATACCAGAAGGCTTGCCTAGTATATGTAAGGACCTGCAATGTATCCCCAGGAAAGTGAAAATAAAGTGGTAATATATTTTGTAGACAACAGGCACAATACATTCCTAAAGGAAAATCATCAAGCTCAATGTTTTTTGTTTTTGGTGCCAGACCTGAGGCTTGAACTATGGGGCTTGGGTGCTATCCCTGAGCTTCTTTTTGTCATGGCTAGTTCTCTACTTTTGGCTTCATGAACTTTCCTGCCTGGGCTGGCTTCCAAACCATACCTTAGATCTCAGCCTCCTAAGTAACTAGGATTACAGGCATTAGCCACTAGTGACTGGCTCTCAGTGTAATTTTTTAAGGAAGGCAAAAAACAAACAAACAAACAAAACAAAAACAAAAACAAAAAAACCAGGAAAGTCACTATTTAATAACTCTTAAAAAGATAAAGAATTTGTGACCCAAATGTGGGTAGATGGAACTGAGTATGAAAAAAACTTTTTTTTGTTTCAAAGTCTGAATATCTATTTTCAAACATCTCTGGAGCATCACTGTCTTGTTCAATAGCTATCAAATTTAACTAAAAAATAAAATTAGACAATTCCCCTGTTACACTTGCCACATTTTAAGTGGTAAATCTCCATATGACTAAATGGCTACTATACTGGACAGAACTGATTTTAGAACTCTTCCATTTTTACAGAAAACTTTACTAAACGATTTCATCTCTGTGAAAAGTCCAGCTTGACAAAAGGCAATAGTAACTCTTTCTCATTTTTCCAAACCCCAAAGAGCAAAAACATTTCCCAAAAATGATTTTCAAACCACTGAAAAGAAAAGTGCAATTTATGTTTGAAAACAAGTCAGGTCAACATCATGTGGCTTACCTTCATAGAAAATTTTGATTTATGGTCTACAAAAGAAAACAAAAATTACTAAACTATCAACCAAAAAACATACTAGGGAAGTAACATAAGAGAAAAATTTTAATTAGTATTAAAGATGTTAAGATTAAAAAACCCATTAACCTCAAAAGCATTAACTTTAAATCTTGCTTGTATGTTCCAAATTTTATAATGTAGCTCAAGTATTTATGTCTTTTTTGTTTATTTTAGCCATTGTCCCCAGGTAAAACTATAAACGGATGGCAGGACTCAAGACAAATAATCTGGAAAAGTATCAAAGTACACTGAGTTTTCAAACTAATATTTAAAAACATTAGCAACCATAGCTACAGTATAATTTTCTCAAACAAAATATTCTTTAGATGCAAAGAATATAATTACCTAAAACACCTGCATTTTCATTAGGTATTAAGAATACTTGTTATAAGCAAACAGAGAACCAATACACATTACACATGAAAGCTATCATAATACTAAATTTTATGCATCTGAATACTGACAACAGAAAGCACTGATGTCTTTTGACTTTACTTGGCTAAAATGAATTTGAAGAAGTGGGGAAAACAGCTTTTTCAATGTATCTAAATATCACTTTATTTCAAGTAAATAATATTGCTAAATATCATAAATTATATGTAGGGATTTTGAAGTCAATATTTTAGATTTCCAGTTACACAGCATACCATATGGAGATAATATTATCTTGGTTTTTCCATCCAGCAGTTCAGTTTCCAACTTTAAACCATCTCTGCAACATGAAAAAAGGTGTGTCATTATTAAGAAAAAGCAATGTTTTAAATAGCCTGAACTTTGAAAGTATATCTATTCCTTTGAAAATATAGGATAGGAATATTGTACATATCAGAACAGTCTTTTAATTTAAAATGTTTTTCACTCCACAGGAAAACTACAGGGAGAAAAAATTTTCTTAAAAACTTTCAATAGGGTCTGGGAAGGTGGCGCCGTGGTAGAGTGCTTGCCTTGCATGCATGAGGCCCTGGGTTCCATTGCTCAGTACCACATAAGCAAAAAGAAAAAAGCCAGAAGTGGTGCTGTGGCTCAAGTGGTAAAGCACTAGCCTTGAGCTGAGGGACAGCGCCCAGGCCCAGAGTGCAGGCCCCATGACTGGACCCCCAAAAAAATTAAAAAAAAACTTTTCAATAATCCAAGAATTTGTCATCTTTAAAATGCAATCTGATTTTTAAGGTTGGTAAGCAATAATTAGTTATCATACTATTTTTCTGGATCAGTTGTGGGGTTTGAACTCAGTATCTGGACACTGTACCTGAGTTTATTCACACAAGGCTATACTTTGAGCCACAGCTCCACTTCTGGTTTTCTGGGTTAATTGGAAATGAGTCTCATGGACTTTCTAGGATGGCTTTGAACTGCAATCCTCAGATCTCAGGCTCCTGAAAAGCTAGGATTACAGGAATGAGCCAACAGCGCCAGGTTTCATACCATCCTTTAACTAGACTGAAAATAAAAAATAATGCTGTTACTAAAACTCTTCAAGTAGGTAATGGAACAAGGCAGATCTGGCTAACATTTATTGGTTTCATAATGATCTCTCTTGGCTAACATTCTGTGGAGTCCTGAAAATGATTGCTAATGTCACAAAGTTTACTTTTTGAGTATAGAGTTCCACTTTAAAAAGATATTTTGAATAATACATATTCACATTTACTAACTCTTTTGCTACTATCACGACAACACACTTTGGCTACTATGATAGATCCAATGCCAAAAGCATGAGCATATAAAATGGTGGGTAATACCAACAACACTTGTGCACCTGCTACAGTCCTACACAAAAATTACACTAGAAATAAAAATAGCATATTGTAAAAAAAAAAAGTGGAGGTAAAAAAAACGTGCCAACACTATTTTGAGACAAAAGGCAGATAGAAAACCAAATCCAGTCTCAAAAGAGAAGGGCTGGGAAAGGTCAGATTACAAAAGCGAAATTTACAGCTTTGCCCAGGTAGAGAATACAAATTTTACCTCAGTATTTGTGGGTTGTTTTTTTTTTTGGTCGGTCGTGGGGCTTGAACTCTGCACTTGTGCACTGTCCCTGAGCTCTTCAGCTCAAGGCGAGCGCTCTATTGCTTGAGCCACAGCACCACTTCCGGTGTTCTAGTGGTTAATTGGAGATAAGAGTCTCACGGACTTTCCTGCACGGGCTGGCTTTGAACCGCATCCTCAGGTCTCAGCCTCCTGAGGAGCTTGGATTACAGGCCTGAGCAACCGGCGTCCGGCTTACCTCAGTATTTGTTTATGGTAACCGACGCTAAAAGCTCATACCAGTAATCCTAGCCATTCAGAGGGTTTACATCTGAGAATCACGGTTCGAAGCCAGCTCAAGCAGGAAAGTCTGCGAGACTCTTATACCAATTAACAAGCAAAAAACCCAGAAGTGAAACTGTGGCTCGAATGGTAGAGTGGCAGCCTTGCTCTAAAAATCTAAAGGGCAACTCCCAGGTCTCAACTCAACATCCTAGTACCAGCACCAAAAAAGAATAAAAATTAAAAAATTAAAGGTACTACACAGGAAAGAAGGAAGGAATTAGAAGTGTTTCTGTGGGGCAGATCCTGTTTGTGCTGGTGAAACTTAACCAAACAAAAAGAGATGTTGCCTGAAACTCCTCTCAATGCTGCACTTCACTGAGGCGTGGACTGATTTACAAATCCCTGATTGTACAGCACAGCATTCGTTCATCTGCTGCACCCGCGCGGTGAGGTCGGGTTGGTGGTTCGCAGGGATCCGCAGCGAGGCCGCTAGAGGCTGGGCGCTGTTAACTCCCGCCGGGACTCCCACGCACCAGTGCTAAGCTCCTCACCACAAGGTGAGCGAGGAGCGGGGGTCCGGGCCGGCTTCCTCCCCGCGAGGCCGCCAAGCTCGCCTCTCCCGCTGCCCCTCTCCTCCCGCTGCGTCAGCGGCGAATAACGGCACAGAAAGCGGCTCCGCGACAGCTCCCAGCAGAGGCGGGAAGGAAGCACGCGGCCTGCGGGGTGGGGAGACCGAGCGCCCTCCCCACTCCCCTCCACCCCCCGCCTCGCCACCGTGGGAGCTAGGCCCGGGGCGCCGGCGCCGAAAACCACCCAGCACCAACCTAGCCCCACTCGCGACCACCCTCTGGGCCCGACGAACCCCAAATTCATGGCCTGACCGCCGATTCTCTTTGCCGGTCGTTGTGGTGTTCTACGGGGGCCGGCTCAGCTCAACAGGCGCTATTCCGATTGGATGAGGGAGGGCCGGCGAGCTAGGTGAGAGGGCCAATCAGAATAGAGGATGCTGGTGGGTTGTTCCGCGGGGGCAAGGGGGGGCAGGGAGGGGGGGGCGGAGATGTTGGGAGACCTTTGCCCTGGAAGGGGAACCCGGTGGACCGGGCTGAGCGGGCAGTTGAGACCTCTGCTTGTGGCAGTTGCCTGCATTCAGTGAATACCTCAGCTTGAGTGGAATTGCTAAAACTGGGAGGAACAAAAACTGTAAATGCTTTCATTTACATTCCTTATGCCTGAAGTTATCTTTGCAAGATTTATTTTGGTTCAACAACCACTACACAAGGAGGCATATGGTGGGTGTGTGTCCTGCTGTGAACCTGACTCAAGCTGGACACATTGTAGCTCTTTTAAAATACTGTTGCAAGAGGTTGAGGAGAAGGTTGGAAGGGATGACATGATCAAGATGCACTGTACTCAAATTGCTATGCTGAATTGAAACCCCTTTGTGTAACTAAGAATAAAGGAATGTTTTAGCAGTAGTCACAAGTGCTCAATAAATATAGGTGTTTGTGCACATGCACCAGACACACATCTAAGTGCTTATGGCTACGACTTAAGCCTTTATAACATCTCTGTGTCACAAGGAGGTTAAGTAACTTGCCTATGGCTACTGTACATGGAACAATTTAACACCAGAGTCTATGTCTCCATCCAGTGTTGTGTGAGTGTGACTCATTATAAAAATTACTTCCTTCAGAAATCCCTTCTGAAATATACGACTTGGGTAGATTATGGAAGTAGAGCAGTGACTCAACTGCTACAGATCGAGTCTTAAGTGAAAAAGCGCAGGGACAGTGCCTAAACACTGAGTTCAAGTGACAGATCCACCAGAAAACAAAAACCAAAAATCTTGTAAGGGGCTGGGAAGGTTGCTCAGGGGTAGAGCGCTTGCCTTGCATGCATGAGGCCCTGAGTTCGATTCCTCAGTACCACATAAGCAGGAAAAAAAAGCCAGAAGTGGCTTTGTGGCTCAAGTAGTAGAGCACTACCTTGAGCTGAAGAGCTGAGGGACAGCGCCCAGGCCCAGAGTTCAGGCCCATGACTGGACCCCAAAAAACAGAAACCAAAACTCTCGTGAAAGGATCCTTCATGTCCATTCCAGGGTACCACCGGAGGCAAGTAGGCACAGGGGAAAGATTATAAGGTTTAATGGAGGAGCCATATTTCCCCTCAGAGGAAGCACATAGCCACTGTCCCTATCCAAGTAGCAGGAGGGTCTGGGGACAGGAAGGGAGTTAGGTGGGGGCTCAGGTGGGTCTGAGCGGAGAGAGGGAGTGGCCAGCTCTAGGGCAGGAACTCCAGGGCAGGGAGGAGCTCAGGTATGGGTGGAGCTGAGGCCCAAAGGTGGTCATAATGCTAACATTTCCCCACTTTGTTGTTTAATAAAAATAGGGGTACCAGGCTGGTGGTATAGGTGGAAGTTGTTTCTTCTATAGCTACTTCCTGCTATAAAGAGGCAAAGTAGGGGTTCCTGCTTTGTTGTTGGGCTGGAACCATCCAAGAAGCATCTGCTTGACAGTTTGGTTGATAAAGGTCCTCCTTTTTCCATGACAATAGTTATTTGAAATCCAAGGCACAATAAAAGCCAAAATTGTTGTTAAAGTAAAAATTGCTGTTAGTGGCCCAAGAGAGGAATAAGCCAGGGAGGGATTGATTCCCAGAAGGAGCTATCAAAGACCTGAAATTGTCTTTTTTGTCTTGGATTGGAGACATAGCATGTACCTGACTCCCAGTCATCCTGGTGGGGGGAGTAAGACCTTTTCTACTTTAGGATCACACTAACCTGAGGAGGAGGTAGCAGAGATATTTAAAAGTTCCAGAGCCAACAGGTGTCATGGGCTCTTTTGGGTACTTCCTGATGGCCTGGGGGCATCAAGGAGCCCCTGGAGCTGGGGTCTTTAGGGTCCCAGTCTAGGCTGAGCAAGGCAGAGCAGTGCAAGTGATGTCTCTGGTTGCCTGTAGTAACAGGATGGCTTTGACTTGTTCCCAGGTGATGTCCTGGGTGGGGGATTGTTCTCCTGTTAAAAGAAACTTTTGGAAAGGCTAGACAAAAAAGCTGACAAAGTGACAAGGTCAGTTAACATGAATGACATAGGAGAACATACACTGGCCGTGGGCCAGGAAAGTTCCATTTGGAGCATAAGCTCAGTTGTGGCCCATTACAGGGAAGGAAGAATAACTGGACTCCCGGCAGGAAGGGGGTGTCTAGAGTCTTTTGGGCAACTGGGTAGGGGAGGCATAATGGACTAGTTGGGAGTACCAGTCAGAGACTACTATAAATACAAATACCAGGTGGCAGAGGCAAGACTGTAACTTTCTGTCCAGTTAGAAGGTAGACAGGTATGGACATTGGATGGACAGGCAACTCTTTTTCTTATCTCCTGGCTCTGATTAATTTTGAAAGGATGAGTGTAAAGTGAATCTATTTAGGATATTATGTCCCCTTACTCCTCTCCATGATTTTCTGTTGTCAGGACTGACTTTGTCTTGGCTGTGTGTGTGTGGGTGGGGGGTGTGTGGGGGGGAAGGAGGGTCCTCAGCATCCATTGCTAGGATACCTTGTCCCAGTTGGTATCTATCAGGTTTGGATTCAAGCCTTGGGCATTGTCCTTGAACACTTTTGCTCGAGGCTAGTGCTCTACCACTTAGTCACATCACTTTTAGCCTTCGGTTGGATACTGAGAGGTAAGAGTTTCCAGCCATGCCTCCAGTCTGGCTCGTTGCTGATTAGCTGGGAGATGGAGTTTTAGAGAGATTGTGCCTGGGATGACATTGAACTGTGGCAAAAGGCGTCTTTGTCACAAAAGCCCTTTTTATTTCCAATTAAAGCAACAAGGAGATCAATAGAGATAGAGGTGACCTATAACTTGTTAACAATTGACTAACAATTACTTATCAGAGTTTTGTAATAACAAAACCCAGTAGATATTTTTTAAACTGAAACTTATTGACAGTCTAAATACCACCCATTGCCTCTGGGCAGCCTGCTTAAAGTGGCTTGTCAACAACATTTCACTTTTAACAAATGTACAGACTTTTTCTTGAGCTACAGCAGTGTAGCTTGTTTAGCACATAATCTCAGTTCTACAAACTGTTTCCTTACCAAATGAATTTATGTGACTGGAGTCAGCTCAAGTCACTGCCAATTAGGACTTTGAACAGATACAAGGAGTTTGGGACTAAAATTATCCCTCACATTTTACAACCTTAGCTTTGACTACCCACTCTCACAGATGACTGACACGTTCCTGCCCAGTTAGACATGGGCATTAGGCATGCTTACAGACTATCTTCCCATGACATCCTGACTCTGATCAATTTTTGAAGGTCCAAGCATAAATGACTCCAGGATCTGACACCATTTTTGCCATCAGATGTGCTAACGTTGCTGGGGTCCCTGGAGTACCTTTCTCCATGCTAAGATAAATGCATCTTTGTCATTCTCCTCAGTCAGTTGCTAGACTTGAACTCAGGGTTTGAGCACTGTCCCTCAGTTCTCCAGCTCAAGGCTAGCACTCTGCCACTTGGAGCTGCAAAGCAACTCCACTTTGGTCCTCAGCTCCACCCATTCCTGAGCTCTACCCTGCCCTGGAGTTCCTGCCCTACAGTTGGCCACTCCCTCTTTCTGCCCAGACCCACTGGAGCACCCACCTAACTTCCTGTCCCCAGATCTTCCTGCTACCTGGACAGGGAGGTGCCATGTGCTCCCTCTGGGGGGAAATATGGCTCCTCTAATATACCTTACAATAATCTTTCTCCTGTGCCTGCTTGCCTCTGGGTGGTCCCCTGGGATGGCTGTGAGGGGTCCTTTCATTGGATTGGTTCCCTGTGGGTTTGCTCCCCCCTCCACTTTGAATGGGGGTCTGACCAGCTTCCCCAGGACCTAGCCTGAGGTCCTACACTCCTGTCGCCAGAGGACCACCAAGGTAACTTTCTCCTGACCTAGCACTCTACCTGCTGCCCATCAACACTGGCTAATTAAGTCCTGCCCCAGGTTTCTGATTTCTGTATTTCCATAGTAAGGCCACCTGGGCCTTCAACACTGGCTAATTTAAATCCTGCCCCAGGTTTCTGATTTCTGTATTTCCATAGTAAGGCCACCTGCGCCACTAACACCCCCCCCGCACCCCACTGACAGAAATCTTGGCCAAGTACTCAGAACTCACCACTAAGGCATACCGTGGCCAAGGGCCCCGTGGAGAAAATGTGTCCACGTTTCCCATTGGCCCCCACCCCACCCTGTTACCAGCCAAATTGCACTGCTGAGGATGCTCTGAGCAAGCTTTTGGTTCCAGATCACTTACTCCTATTACTTCCTCTAATGTTTTCAGGGTGTCTGCTTTGACATTGAGGCTTGGATCCATTTGGAGTTGATTCTGGTGTAGGGTGATACATAAGGCTCTAGGTTTAGTTTTCTGCAGGGTGATTAACCAATTTTGCCAGCACCATTTACTGGAGAGGCTGTCTTTCTTACATTCTATTTTTTGGCTCCCTTATCAAAGATTAGGTGGCTATGGGTCTGCATGCTCGTTTCTCGGTCTTCGTTGCTATTCCATTGGTCCTTGTGTCTGTTCTTGTGCCAGATTACTATGGCTTTGTAGTAGAGTTAGAAATTTGTTACTGGTATTCCTCCAGCGCTGTTCTTGCTGCTAAGGATTGTTTATGCTATTCAGCATCTTTTACTGTTTCATATGATTTCTTGGACTAGTTCTATTTCCATGAAAAATTGGGTTGGGTAATTGATAGGTATCACATCGAATATGTACCTAGCCTTTGGAAGTATTGCCATTTTCACTACGTTAATCCTCCCAATCCAGTAGGATGGGAGGTTGTTCCACGTCCTGATTTCTGCTTTGATTTCCTTTTTCAGATTTGTAAAGTTTCCATTGTAGAGGTCATTCACTTCTTAGTTACCTCCTAGGAATTGGGGCCATTACCAAAGGAGTAGCTTTCCTGATTTCATCCAAACTCTTCTCCTTGTTGGCATACAGAAAAGCCATTGCTTTTCTACCCTGCTACTTTGCCAAAGTTTTGAATCAGCTCAAGTATTTTGGAAGTGGAGTCGATCAGCTTCTTTGTCTTTCTGAAGAGTTTCTCTTGTATCTTCTGGGTGTGTCTCTTGGTGAAATAGCTCCTCCATGTTGACCAACTTTCTGAGCCCCTTGGTGGAAACACTTAGAAGGGGGCTGAGGCAGCAGCTTTGTGGCATAGTATTTTCCTTTGGTTTGTGCCAGGAGTTGGGCTTGAACTTAGGGTCTTGTGCTTTCTCTTGGATTTAGTGGCTCATGACTAGCACTAGTCATTTGAGCCATAACCCCACCTCTGGTCTTTCTGCAGAATAAATGCGGATATGAGTGTCTCAAACTTTTCTGCTTGGCCTGCCTTTGAACCTCCACCCTCAGACTCTAGCATCCCAAGTAGTGGGATTTATAGGTGTGAGTGACCAGCACCCTGTCTGTAATGTGTTCTCCTATCAGTCATGAGGCACTGTTTATTTCTGGAACTCTCTTGAGTTCTCTCTTCTGTAAAGATGGTTAACAGAAAGGATGTAGGTGAGTAACATGCCTGAGCTGTGAGCATACGTAGGTCTCTGTTCCTGTTACTGGAGTTTACCACCTATTGCACACTTCCAGGCCGAGTTAGGACAGCTGTTTTCTCTACCTAGAAGTTTCTTTATCCTTCTTAAAAAAAAAAAAAGAGAGAAAGATTGCTGAGTGCTGATATCTTACACTTGTAATTTTAGCAAGTCAGGAGGCTAAGATCTGAGGATATTAGTTCTTGAAGTAAACACCAGTAAAGGCAGAAGTGGAGCCATGGCCTTTATGGTAGAGAAGTAGCCTTGAGAGAAAAGCCAAAAAACCCTCAAGGAGGCCAGAAGATCCCTGCTGAGAGCTGCTGGGGTTTTCTGCTTCAACAGTGCTTGAGGGGAACCAGGTGCTGGACCACAATTCTGGCCATCTGCTCCAAGCCACCAACCTTGTGCCACCTCTTCACCGTGTCCTCAACCTGCCCGGAGGCCTCTGTTGTCAGCCCAGTGCTAACCCATTGCTACTCCATCTCTCTTAACTGCTGCCCTGAGGAATGCAGTCTCCTGCCAGGTGTGCCTGAACTGCTACCAGGACTCAGAGGCCACCATCAACCACCAGATCCATCTGGAGCTCTACCCCTCCTATGTCTACCTGCCCATGTCTTGGGACTTTCGCCGAGATGGTGTGGCTCTGAAGAACTTTGCCAAGTGTGGCTCTGAAGAACTTTGCCAAGTACTTTTTTGCTAGTCTCATGAGAGAGAGAACATGCAGAGAAACGGATGAAGCTGCAGAACCAGAGAGGTGGCCGCATCTTCCTGTAGGAGATCTAGAAACCAGAGTGTGATGTCGGGGAAAGCGGGCTGAAATTGACGGAGTGTGCACCTCACTGGGAGAGAGTGTGAATCAGTCACTGCTGGAACTGCACGAACTGGCCACTGACAAAAATGATCCCCACTTGTGGGTCTTCATTGAGACTCATTACCTGAGTGAGCAGGTGACGTCCATCAAAGAACCATGTTGGTGACCATGTCAACAACTTGCACAGGAGGAAGCCCCGATCTGGCATGGCAGAATGTCTCTTTGACAAGCTCCCTCTGGGAGAAAGTGATGAGAGAGAAGCCTTGAGCTGACCCCCAAGCCACACATGACTTCCGGTCACAAAGGCAGTGCATGCATGTTGGCGATTATTATTACCTTTTCTATACATTTTACAAAACCTCCTAAGTTCTTTCAACTTGTACCATTTCGTCAAATAAAGGGATTTGGTACAAAGCAAACAAAAAGCTCAAGGAGAGCGTGCAGGCCCTGAATGTCAGCTCTAGGACTTGTGCAAAAGAAAACCCAAAGAGAGCACATCACCCCTAAACTAGGAGAAGAGTTCAAGGCTTCATTTCTGATCTGAAAGCATCTCAGGTCTTTGAGATACACTGTTAATTGGTTGCTACTCATGGAGTCACCTTGTCCTTTTCTTAGTGTTTAGAACTCAGGACCTTGCAGTTAGCTGTGCTTAATAGGTTCAAACATGTACTGCTGGAGTTCCTCCCTCAATCCCTCCTGTGTGTGGGCAGTATTGGAGAAAGGACTTGTGTGTGTGCTGTTTCTCTTTGAGCATCAATCCTCCAAGGCCTCTGGCCTCTGAATAGCTCGGAGTACAGACAAGATGCACAAATTAGTGTCACTGTCACATTCTTGAACTCCCACCAAACATCAGTACCCAATGCAGAAATGAAGAGTACTCAGAACCTATATGATCAAATTTTGAGAAAATCAATTTAATAAGTTTGGTGAGAAGCAAAAAAATACAGAAAGCATATTAAGTATCATTTCCAATACGAAAAACTTAAGTCTGTGGAGCTTGTTGGAGGTCGCAGCAGAGGAAGGAACCGTTGTCTCCAGGCATGTTCAGGCGGAATGGCACGTGTTCCAGGTGAGCACCACAGCGATGTGTTTTCAGCCTTTCCATTGGAGCTGAAGGAAGAAAGGGAACTCAGGACTGAATTGTACAGGACAACACCTGACAAGTCACAATCTCTTTCTGAAAGTCTATCCCTTTAGCTCCCTCTCCCTCTCCCCTTTTCTGTTTGTTTCTCCACACTTCCCTTTCACCCAGGAAACCATAGATCAGAGGGGATGAGCTAAACAAAAAAAAAAGGACTTCCTTGAAGTATAGGTAAACACAGAGCACAGCTCAGTGGCCACCTACTTTTTTCCAGGCTGTCAGGAGGAATCAGTGTGTGTAGGAAGGACTCTAGGCCTGCTGCAGCAGCAACAACATAAATTTCGAAAGCAGCTGGTGATGTTCTTCTTCCAGCGCCTCCAGCCCCTGTGTCGCTCATTTGTTGTGGATGTTGTGGGTTGAGCGGATGGTAGGGAAGTTCTGGCAGGTGCAGGACTTGGGGGCAGCTTGCTGCTCTCCTCCTCCCCAGCTTGGTCCTTCCCGCTGGGATCACATGTTTTTGGACATGGGGCAACAGATCTTATCTTCCTCCTCCTCTTTCTGTAATGTACCCATGAGTTATATACTACAGGGGGAAGAGAGTGGGGTCTGCTGCCCGCCTGCCTCTCCTGCTCAGGGGCCGAGCTGGTCATTTCATTGTGTTTGGCCATGGGGAGTGCTACTTCGGCTGCTGCTGCTGCTGCAGCTGCTGGTACCAGGGCAGCCTTGCTGCTCACAGTCTTGCCCTCTGTGTTGGAAATATGGGGTCTCCAAGGGAGGCAGGGTAGGCACACGGATCTCCTGCCTTTCCTGCCACCACTCCCCTGCTGCTGCTCAGCAGGCAGGCCTACAGCCAGGTGGCCCAAGGGAGCACTGGCTTGCTTCAAGTGTAGAGCCTGGCCGGTCCTGCATACGGGGGAGGGGCAAGGCGGAGGCGCAGGCAGTGCATGCCTCACCAGGCCCGTCAGGTCTTGGCCCTGGTCTTGCTGCTGCTTTAAGATTTTATAGGTTGCCATGGAGGCAGACAGGGCTGCCCCAACCTGGTCTGGGTCAAAACCCAGGAAATAGGCCATGACGTTTAGAATGGCCGGATCTGGCTCGGCCAGGGCACTCTGGCTGGGGCGTGGTGAGCGTGCCTGTGTTGCCTTTAACCAAGGGTGGCACAACACTTGCCTCACAGCAGGTCTCTTTTGAGGGTCAGGTGTCATCAGATACCTTAAGATATGTTGCAGTTCGGTGGAAAAGCTTTTGAATATTAGACACCTGCCCGCTAACACTTGCTGTTTTAGGACGCGCCAGGACCTGTCATCAAAAGGGATGTCGCCCATGACCATGAAGTAGAGTAGTATCCCCAAACTCCAGACGTCCACCTTGGGACCCTGGTATTTCTGCTGCTTAATCATTTCGGGGGGGCAATAAGCCATTGTCCCGCACCACCCGTCCAGCTCCTGCTGGGGCTGGAACCGCATACTGAGACCAAAGTCGCATAGCTTAGCTGTGCCCTGGCTGTCCAGCAGGATGTTTTCTGCTTTAATGTCGCGGTGAACGATGCCCTGGTCGTGGCAATAATTGACCGCCCTCACGATCTGCCTAAACAGAAGCCTGGCCTCCTCCTCCCTCAGTCTGACCACCTTGTACACATAGTCTGCTAGGTCTCCTTCCTCGAGGTACTCCATCACCAAGTTCACCCGCTGCTCTGCCTCCACCACCTGGTACAGTTTGATGATGTTAGGGTGCTCCACAGACTTTAAGATGTCCAGTTCTGTGTCAACAGATGGGCAGTTCTCCTTGCTGATCGTTTTCACGGCGACCAGGCTGTCTGTAGGCAGGTGCTTGGCCAGATAGACTGAGGCAAAGCCCCCCTCGCCGATGGTTCTCAGCACCCGGTAGTGAGCCCTGAGGAGCTCCTCGTGTGAGGAACTGGCCTCAAGGCCCTGCCGGGACCTCTCCTCTCTACTCTCACTACTCATCCTACACAGCACCCTAGCGATGCTGTCTAGGGAGAAAATAGAATCAAACAATGAAATAAAATGTATAAATGTATAATAAAGGAATAAAATGTAAGTAAAATATGAATAAGTATAATAAACGAATAATAAAATGTAACTACCTAACAAACTATCTATCTAACAATATAAGTAAATATAGAAAGAATAATAAATGAACAATATGCTAAAATGCTATCTAAAATGCTATCTAGTAAAAAAGTATAAGAAAAAAGTAGAGCAAGAAAAGAAAAAGGAAAAGTGAAAGAGAAGAGTAAAAGAAGAAAAGTGAGAAAAAGAAAAGTAGAGGAAAAAGTCAAGAAAAAGGAAGAAAGAAGTAAGATAGGAAAAAGTAAAAGAGGCAAAAGAGAAACCAAGTCCGAGAGAGTCAAAGCCAAATCGCAATCCAAATCCAAACACCGAAAGTCAAAGCCAAATCAATAAACCAAATCCCGAAAATCAATCACTCACCAGCCACCAACCACCTGAACTCCACCCCTCCAACTACCTACAAGAGTCCACCAGTCAGCACGCGATATATATATAGCCAGGGTTATTGTGACCTCACGAAGGTGTCTGTGATGTCAGAGCTGCCAAGCGTCTCTGCCCATGTGGGTGTCGCCCCCTGTGCCCATCTCAGTTCCTGGCCTTCAGGACGCTTCTTAGATGAGCATGCCTGGACTGGCCTTGCAGTCAGGGCCTGGGCACTGTCCTTTAGCATTTTGATTTCATTATTGTTTTCATTTTAGTGCCAGCCCTGGGCCTTGAACTCTGGGCCTGGGCACTGTCCTTGAACTTCTTTTTGCTCAAGGTTAGCACTCTACCACTTGAGCCACAGACCTACTTCCCGCTTTTTCTCTTTCTGTGTTACTGAGGAATTGAACCCAGGCAAGCACTCTAGCACTAAGCACATTCCCAGCCCCTGTCCCTGAGCTTTGATACTCAAAGCTGGTGCTCTATCAGCTGAGCCACAGTCCCACTTCTATCTTCTTGGTGCTTCATGGGAGATAATAGTCTCAGGGAATTTTCCAGCCCATGTTGCCTTTGCATTAGCATCCTCATATGCCAGCCTCCTGCTTAGCTAGGATTACAGGCCTTACAGTAGCCATATGCTTACAACACACTTACGTTAAACAGAACTTAGGTTCTGTTCAGTAAGAGTCTACTCTAAGTTTTCTTAGGTGGTTATGTAGATTGATATTTAATATTTCAACCGATGGCAGTCTAGGGAGAGTGCCGATATCAAGACTCCTAGAGTGCTCATATCCGTAATCCTAGTTACGTGTGGGGTTGGAAGTGGGAAGATTGCAGTTGGAAGCCAGCGTAGGCCAAATAGTCCATGAGAGCCCATGACAAGGGAGCAGGTTGGCATCAGGGTGCATGCCTCTCATCCCAGCCAAGGTGGCAAGTGACAAATAAGATGAAGGTTCTGGCTGCTGCCTGCTACAGAAGCAAATCCCTTTCAAAAACTACCAGCACAACACTGTTCAGTAAGAAATGTACTCATTATCTAACTTAGGTAACTGCACCCTCTCTGTGTATCTCCTTTACAGGAAAATTTAAAAGAAAAAGAACAAATGATGACCACCAGCACAGATATGGCATGACTCACTGTTTCTTTTTTTTTTTTTTTTTTAATTTTATTTTATTTTACTTGAGAACATACTGTACAGAGGGGTTACAATTACATGGGCAGGATAATGCATACATTACTTACCAAGCATTGCAGCCTCCTCCTTTGTTTACCCTTCACCTCCCTTCCCAGCCTCCCCCCTCCCTCATGACTCACTGTTTCTAAGGTCAGCTTAAGCTCAAACACTTCATCAAAACTCAAACCTCTCTTATTCCTCAATATTCTTGTTGCTTCTGCTTTAATATTGACATTATCTTGAAGTCGAATGATCACATGAGGGCTACTCTAAACACAGTATTTTTTCATTCTGTTTGGATGGATGTCAAACACGTGTCTGATATGATATTTAGAATATATAAGCAGATTCATTGTGAACTGTGCTGTATCTAGCTGAGGCAAAGATACCCTTCAGGATTTCCTAGAAGCTTACCATTAATTTTCTCATCAAAAACAAGGGAAGCCACAGAGATGTAGGTCAATCTATTCAGCCCCGAACATACTAATGATCAAACCCAAAATCTGTTCCAGCATCTGGGTCCCCCAGAAGTGACACAAACACTGCGGAATTTATTTCTACCTACAGTTCTGCCTTGAACAGCTGGGTTCTACTTTCTTACAAGTATTTCTTAGAGGTCTGAAGGAAGAACTCTGGGAAAGGTACAGTTATGGATGTTTATGCAAAGTAGGCCTCTTCATTTTCTACATAATAAAGCAACTCATGCAACCCCAATCCCTAAAGAGTAGTACTTTGAGACACCCATTGCATTGCATGCAGTTGGCAGCTTATGGCTTCATTCAAAAGGATGAAACCCAGGGCCTTCAACATGTGAGACAATCCTTGAACCAGCCCCTGCACAGTCCTAACCCTAACGTGCTTTTTTTTTTTTTTTGAATCCTGGAGTCCACATTCCCTGTGACAAACGCAGGGCAAGAGGCTGGCACTGCCTTAAAAATGAGCACTTTGAGTGCAAAGACACATGACTGCAGCCCTCTGTGGTTCTTCTCGGTCTGTCCAAGGGGTCTCAGAATGTCAGTTAACTGAAAAGAATCATCTCCTGCTAGCCAAGGGAAGTCCAGCTGCGGCTACCTGAACAGCTAGCTGCTCTCATGTTGAGATAATCTCCACTGTGATTATGATGCATTATGATGGACTGAGAGGGACGAGAGCACAGGGAGAAGAAGGGCTCTGGTGAGAGGCTGTGGCTCAGTCTTCAGCTCTCCTATGTGGAGGAGGGTCCTTAGATAGAATAGCTTCTAGGAATGGGGCTTGGAATAGAAGCAGTGTCTTAATCCTGTGTGGTTCTGACTGGCTATTGCTCATCTATCTTCAGTAGGGCCCTTACTTAAGTAGACAGGAGAGTTGAGTTTGGGAGATGTAGTTTGTTGTGTTGAGGTGTGTGCCAGATCTGGAGCTTGATCTCAGAGTCTAGGAGCTGCCTTTGAGCCTTTGTCCTTGATTAGCATTAGCACTCTAGTATGTGAGCCACAGATTTACTCCCCGCTTTTGGGGAGGTAATTGGAGAGAAGAGTCTTATGCCTGTCAGCCTGGCTTTGAACTGAGATTCTCAGATCTCAGCCTCCTGAGTTGGTCAGACTTTAGGCTGGAGCCACTGGCACTGGGCCCCTGTGGTGCATTTGCAGTTAGGTGGTAGCTCTCCCTGTGTCCATTCATCCTGCTTGAGAACCACTGTGAGTGGTTGTTCCTTCTCCTCAGCTAATGAAGAAGGCTTTCTGCAGTGTTTTCATTTGCATAAGACATAATGCTTTGATCTCTCTCTTTCTTGCTCTCTCATTCTCTCATTCTTCTTTTTGCTCAACTTTGCCCTTTATCCACTCATACTTGACCCCTTCATTTTATTTATTCATTTATTCAACACACCCAAACTCATACACAAACACAACCTACACCTAAACACAGAGAGACACACACACACAAAGAGAAAAACAGGGAGGGAGATGGAGAGGGAGAGAGAGAGAGAGCATCCCTTCCTGTTTTCATTCATTTTAAGTGGAGCGATAATAAAATACTCCTTCTAGAGTAGTCTTCTAGTTATATAGTCAATAAATTAAAAAACTTCTTCAGTATTCGTAACCCATGAACACTTCCTATATTAGCATTTATTTTTCTATTGGCTTCTGCTTATGAATCTTTCCAAAGATTCATTTGTATTTGTTATTTTACATTTTTCATAGATGTGGTTGTTTCCACTGAGGGTTCATGGGTTTACTTGAAGTTTCCTTAGTTTTAATGAACATGGTTGTGAAGGTAGCTTTAGTGCAGCCTTGCAGCATTATTTACCATAGCCAAGACGGAGTCAACCCAAATGCCCCTCCGTGGATGAACGCGTCAAGAAAATGTGGTATATTCACAATGGAATTCTATGCTTCCATCAGAAAGAGTGTTATTGCATCTTTTGTAAGAATATGGAAAGCCTTGGGGAAAAATATATTAAGTGAAGTAAGCCGGACTCAAGGAAACATAGGTTGCAGAGTTTCTCTCATTTGTGGTAGCTAGAATGTTGCTTATACCTCTACAAGTAAACACACTGGGTGGTAAGGAAGGGGTTACAAATGACTTCGCAAGTGAACACTTTGGGTGGTACCTAAGGAGTTAGAAATGAAATAATTGAAGTCTGAAAGACTCCAAGGAGAGCACAGACCGTGGAATTCCGGTGAGAGGCTAGAAGAATTAAGAGGGGAAGGGGAAGGAATTTGGGCAAGAATCTCTAGTATATACAACAGCATTGAAAAATATGAGGGAAGGCACCCTGTGCCTGAACGCAGGGTGAAGATTTTGATGTGATGACAGAGATTGAGATGCATTGTACATATAAACTGCTTTGCTAAATGTCAAAAAATGTATTATATAACCTAAAGTTAAGATAAGGGAAGGGCTGGGAACGGAGGGGCTGATGAGAACATTGAAAAGGGTAACCTTGATCAAGATTCACTGTATTCATAAACTGCTTCAATGAATGACAACTCCTTTGTACAATTACTTAAAGAAAATTAAAATATTTTTTAATGAAAGGGGGGAAAAAAGAGATTGCATAGGCCTTGGTGAGTTACTGAGCCCCCTGTCAGAGGATTAAGGCTTTGGTGGGCTGCTGAGCCCTCATCAGAGTCAAATTTGGCCCCAAATTTAAAACTGCACTTCTGTGAGCTCTGGAGCAGGCAAAACTCTCTCCCTCCCTCCCCTCCCCTTAAACTCTGTTAAGGGCTAAAATTAGCTTCTGGTTACTCTCCCTTCTTCCAAATAAAGGTATTCAAAAGGTCAATTGATAGGTAAAATGCTCTTGATAATCAGGACAAATTTGGGCTCCAGGGAATCCCCACCCAGTACTCTTCAATACAAGTATTGGAAATACTAAATGCCTTGGAAAAGCCCTGGAAAAATGTCGCCCAGCAATCATTCGTT